GTGGTGGAAAAAAAACAGATCATCGATTTTGTAGCTTTGCGCTAAAGTAACAACAAAAAACATTTCTATCATGAAACATTAATTTTATACGACAATAAATAGAAAATAATGTTAATAAGGATGTTGACAAGTTGTCAAAAAGTACAGTTGAATAATCAGCTGACTTTGAGCAAGTCAAAGTCAAAACAATGTAGTTTGTAGTTTCTACTGATATTTTACGATTTAAAAAAAAACTTGTGTTCACATGATTTCAGTTGAAACATATTTGAAAGGTTTTAACAGGTTTATCTGATTACTAAATATTGTTCACTGATACTAATCTGAGCTACTTGGTATCTTCTAGTGTAATAGTAGAAGCTAAATGTATTCCATTCAACAAATAATAGAATTAATTCGCAGTTTTATCTTCGATTGCTATTGCCCCCCAACTAATAAGTTAATATTTAATATCAGTGTCACCGTAAATTAATGCATTCAGTATATCAAATCAAAATATCATTAGGTTAGACAATATGATCATCATTGGTTTCTGATTTTCAGGTACTTATCATGGTTTTTTGAGAATTTGAAAAAAAACAGTTTTCACGTGGCATTAATTGTTTAGTAACACCATTGTTTTTCTAGAATTTACTACACTTCAAGGTATCATATATTTCTAGGTTACTGTTCATTAGTAGAAGGAAACAGAACAGGAAAGGATAGAGTTAAGGCAAAAGTCAATTTGGAAAAAGGGAAAATGAGAATGCTGAGTTTGCAAGGTTGTACAGTAGTAAAAACGTTAAGACTGTAGTAGATTTAGTTAGCATTCAGGTAACAATCTCTAACAGATGTGAACCTTTGACTGTTGCAATGGGGAATTAGAGGATAATCAAAAGGTTTATATACTGATAAGGCTATTTGTGGTGGAAACGTATAAAGTCTAGGACTAAAAGTTTCTTGCCAAGCACTAAAGTACAGTATATTATAGACTACGTTGAGAATTAACTTGTTGATGCCAAGGAGCATTCACTTTGTGCAGTGCACGTAGGGAAAAAACTGATGTTATAAATTGTACACCAGAAAAGCTGCTTAGAAAGTATGAAGAACTCCTTCAGTTTAGGGTAGAAATAGACTTGTGGCCCTTTCAGGAGTGCCCTAGGTATACTCCTTCGAGTTAGGTAAGACTTGTGGCCCTTTCAGGGGTGCCCTAGGTATACTCCCTCGAGTTAGGTAAGACTTGTGGCCCTTTCAGGAGTGGCCTAGGTATACTCCCTCGAGTTAGGTATGCAAATGAATTACTTAGCAGATATAAGGCTCAAATGAAAGTTTTGGTTCGGTTACTGTTAAGCGCAAAGCTACATAATAGGATATCTGTGCTCTGCCCATCACAGATATCAAAACCTGAATTTTAACGTTGTAAGCCTGCAGACTTACCACTGAACTAGTGGGGGACATTAAATGAAAGGATATCAAATATAATTTTAAAACAACAGTTTGGTTGTTTGAATCAATAAGATAATTTTCAAGGTATGGATTAATGTTATGCTCGAGATAGGCTTCACATTGGTGAATGTTATGCTCGAGATAGACTTCACTTAAGCAGGCTATAAGGCAGAAAATATTTGGGAAGCTCTAAATAATTTAACTTAAAATAGTTTAAAATAAATTTGCATAGTAGTGAGAGTGTTGGGGAAATTACAAATAAAAAATTGATAGTATAGCTGCAACAAAGACATGATAAAAAGACTAATATTTAGAGTTTGAGTTAAATAGTACTATTTAAAGATAAGTTTATGAGAGTTAAAGATAGACATAGTGGGCTCAAAAGTAGATTTATATGCTATTGTTACGAACAAAATCGACGAGCTTATTGCTCAAATTGAACTGAAAGACTAACGTATAATGGGAATTACCAAAACTTGGTTAAACTCAGTGGACAAGAATTATTTTAAAATTCCAGATTAGGAGTTAGATAAAGTGATCGACTTTTTTTTAAAAGAGGGGTGTAGAGATTCTCTACATAACAGATTAGTTGCAGCCTGTTGGGACTGAAGAAGCATGAAAAACGATAGGTAAGAGACTGAAGCTACAGAGTGATGGAGTATTTTATATTAAAACGAGTTTAAATATGCAAATCGGTAAGATATGTGACAACTACAGCTGATATAAAGTATATCAATAATGGACAGTATCAGAACTACATTTTCATGTTGTGTGACGGTCAATCCCATTATTCGTTGGTAAAAGAGTAGCCCAAGAGTTGGCGGTGGGTGGTGATGACTAGCTGCCTTCCCTCTAGTCTTACACTGCTAAATTAGGGACGGCTAGCGCAGATAGCCCTCGTGTAGCTTTGCACGAAATTCAAAACAAACAAACATTTTTCATGTAGGTGTTTCACAACTCAAACCATCAGACATTCAGTATCTCACTTGCAGTCGTCAAGCAACTGTTTTCTCAGAAATCCAGAACTACTCGTTTTGTACCCTTCATACATCAAGATTCTCAAAAGTGTTTCTCAAGTACCCATTTTCTCACTTATAACTCAGTTGTAGTCTTCAAGCGCCTACGTACTTCATTTTGTACTCCTAAAAAGAATAATGTCTCACCTAGTTACAGTATGAGTTTTACTCTGTTTGAATTCACATTACGTGTTCCAAACAACATTTGATGACAATATAATAAGTGGTTTTCAGTCTTATTAGACCACAAAACAAACAACGTGATACACAACTAAAGGATTCCCAAAAGTAACCTTCCTACAAACAGTTTTTTACAAGATTGAGTTAACATTGAAGTAATGATTTAATTAACTAGAGTAGTTACGAATGTAAAGGATAGCTGTTAGAAAACACCGTGAGGATATACCTTATTAATTAAACGTACTTTTGAAGTATCCTATATATATAGCTTCCTGCGGGGTTACACTGATTACTGTGAACAAAATTTGAAAAGGCAACCATTCGATTCAGTATCATAATCACGATATTTCGGGCTGTATTTCAAGTCCTAGACAAAATTGTTGATACGGTCTGTTGGTCACGACGTGAAAGTTTATAACACAAGTATCATAGTTGTAAAGGAGCCATCTACCGTAACATTACATGGCTTATACAGGCGTAAAAAACACAGAGAGACTTCAAATTACTGCAGGTAGAGGCATATAATGTATGAGACGAGCTGGTATTGAAGAGCAGGTGCGAAAAGAAGTATTCCATCTAACGCAACTTTATTCCACTCGAGAAACCTCATGGCAACAACATTATTGCTTTTACTTTTCGCTTCACACACTGAACAAGCGAAAACCGTCACATCCGGCGACTTTTGAACCCAGTTACTCTAGCCAATTATAATGTGTCTTCCACACTGGATCAGATATTTAAACAATAGCTTTTTTAATCCTAGCGACTGACATATGTAACATAAACGTCAGGATTAACGTGGGCCGAGTGTGGCCCACTGATTAGTTGTCCCTCTACTCATCTACGAGTCATTCTTTTGTATCTTATTATGACAAAAACAAAATCACGCCATGTTATTATGGTGATTGCCAAATTCCACTATTTGATCATACAAGAGTATTCCAAGAAATAGTGATGGTGTTGTTGACTAGCCATCTTCTCTCTAGTCTATCAGTTCAAAATTATGGATGGCTAAGCGAAGATACCCCTTTGAGCAACTTTGCGCGAATTTTATGAATCAAACAAACAAAATAAAGTGGCATATTTCTCAACTAAAACATGATTAACAAGATCTATAGTAAACATAAAAACTAATTGTACTATTCAGACACATAAGCCTTTAACAAGAGTGTTTTTTAAATAAACTTTATATAGAAAGCAAGAATGAAGTTTGTCCTGATATTTTATTGTCCTTTGGTAATTATAACATTTATAAAGGAAAAAGAAAAACTGCCGTACCAAAAATGTAACTCTTATAACATGCACATCTACATCTTTTAATTCAAGTAGCACAACTTGTTACAATGACAGTGTGTGTTTCTCTAAGTATTCCAGTTATATGTAATTTTGTTGGTCAATTTCACCAATTCCATTTCCTATGTTTCTCGAGAAAGTTTATAAAGCTAAGAACAATAAAACAGTTGCTCATAGATGGCTGTGTTTGCCAAATAAGATCTATTGTCCGCACGTGTTGAGGGGCAATGGAAAGAATAATATAAAATGCGGACAAAATTAGCTCGATAAATATTTATTATTTTGTTTGAAGTTACGCACAAAGCTACACAAATTGGCTATCTGTGCTCCGCTCACCACGGGTATCGAAACCCGGATTCTAGCGTTGTAAATCCGGAGGCATACCGCTGTGAAACTGGGGGGTATATTTATTATTAAAAATTAAAGTTCAAAATATAATAATATTATATATATATAAAAAAGGCCTACAGAGAGGATTAATACAAAATCGTGTTTAAAAGGAGAATTATTATAGAATCACCTTGGCAAGTTATTATTACTATTAGATAAATGTCTACAGATGAATGTTATTACAAATTGAGAAGAGATGAGCGTAACTCAATTAAAGCTTTTCTGTTAAAATAATCTGTTATAGAATATCGTAAAGAAATAGGACATTTAAAACTTATTTTACTGTCTTTGAATACAACGTGGATTACTCTTTCATTTATGATCGGTACAATCGATTTTTTTTTATCCTTTGATATATAATTAACTGTGTTGAAGAAAGCTGTTCAAGTTTCGGCGTTGTCTGATCTGTCTGTATTGGCGAGATTATTATATTTTTCATACTTTCTTCAGTACCAGAGTTTCATCAGCGTGCTGGCTTTTCTGATGATAACTTTTAATATGTGGTTATTTTTCCAAAGGATGTAGTTCGATCTTGACAGTCCGTGACTATTAATGAGGTTTCCTGGTTTCTGATTGATCGAGTTTGTCATCGATCTTCTGGCTTTATTTACTATCACGTTTAGACGTCGCACAACTTAGCCAGACGTGCTGCTGTCTACTCAGAACAGTCATTATATTCACCAATGCATATATTTTTTTTCACTTTTCCAAATACTCATTTAACAATGCTTTGGTACAAAACAGTTTGGTTATTCTTGGCTTTCTAAAGAGTCTGATCATACTTCAAATTTTAAGCAATGATTTACGAACACTTCTGCAGAATAGCATTTTAAGAACGTCTATTTGACAAAATTTCGAAGTTACTGAGACATCTCGAAGCAAGAAAATGGATGTAGTGTTATAATTAATTCGAATTATTGCAGGTAAAAAATTTTCAGAACATAAATAGTTTTTTAATGTAACTTAGCTTTTCACATTAAAGTGTTTTAAAAATATTTTGACTTTTTTAAAAATAAAATTATACAGGGTATATACTTCACAGGTGTGTGTGGAATTAACCACAAATTTAACAAAATCACTTCCTATAGAATAACCATGGAACAAAGCCCCTCATTATTGAGGGTAATGAATCTGACGTGAGCTGAGCCTACGTTACCATGATAAGTCAGGATTTTTCTCTTTTTTTTATTTTTATTATAGGCAAACCTTGTGTTGCTTAAATTTTTAAACCTGTTCTGCATATTATGTTTATTTTCGAGGTGGTGTACTATTATGTGTTTACAATAATATAAATTGAGAACAGGCAATGATTAATTAGAATCAACATCAATTGAATATAGGTGCATAATAATTTTGTGTGTGTGCAATGACTACAAAAACGTGTTAAAAAAGTAGCCTCTTCTTTAGTTCTAGTATCTCTAACATTATAGCGCCAGAGTTTTCTATAGATGAAATATACATTCTGTTTATTATTTAACGGATTAATTTTTAGATATTAATTTTATATTTCAAATAAGAAATATGTACATTTCTTTTAGAATATTCATAAAGAAAATTATAAACATCTAGAAGGTAAAAGTATAAATAGCTAGAAAGTAAAATTATAAACAGCTAGAAGGTAAAATTATAAACAGCTAGAATGTAAAATTACAAACAGCTAGAAGGTAAAAGTATAAACAGCTAGAAGGTAAAATTATAAACAGCTAGAAGGTAAAATTATAAACAGCTAGAAGGTAAATTATAAACAGCTAGAAGGTAAAATTACAAACAGCTGGAGAAGGTAAAAGTATAAACAGCTAGAAGGTAAATTATAAACAGCTAGAAGGTAAAGGTATAAACAGCTAGAAGGTAAAATTATAAACAGCTAGAAGGTAAATTATAAACAGCATGGTTTTGTATTCATAGCTCATTTTTAAAAAGTACCTTTTTTGTTCATATACATGCAAGCTACAGTGGCCTGAAATGAGCAGTCTTGCCATAGAGTTGACATTGATGATATCAATCTGCATTACAAAACAAGCACAAAACTGACCCATCAGTACCTGATACTTTCGCCTTTTCCATATTTGGCAGAGTTATGTATATCACAGGCACGGAAGTATTGTAAGTATTTCGGACAATACCATTAATTCTCACATTCGTATGTCAGGACGCCGTAAATCTCATTTACTTTCTTTTATTTCTGTCATTTAAGTGACAAAATATTTTAAATAAAGACAAATATAAACGTCATTTGGTGGCTTTGGAGAAAAGTAAAGAATATAATATTATATATACATATATATATGAAAATAGGTGACGTTATCTTAAAACTTTGTAACTTTATAATGTGACCCATTTAACAATAACTCTAAAATACGTTTTAGTGTTGCGTTGATTTTCTTTTCCATTTAACTCTTGTTTATAACTTTCATTTACTGCTTGATTTCTGAAGGTTTTGTTTTTGAAAAGATAGAGAGTTTGGAGAGATTTCTCAAAGCTTACGTAATACTGACGTTTCGTGTTCTGCAAATCAGAGTGGTAACATATTCATAACAGGAATGCCATTGTTAACTTACCTGTCAATCAGACTTGGAACTCAAATAATAGTGATGTGATCGTTCAGTGAGTTGTCTATTTAATTTGGAGAAAAAAAATGATTGCATGAACTTGCAGAAATATAATTGAAGAGGCCACGATTCCGAAACCAAATGCGTTGGAACTAGAAATCCACATAAAGCCTAAATAAGATCGAATTTTTTTAGGTATTTATTTTAATAGACTATGAATTAAATGCAACATTCATTTCGGATCTCATTTGGACATAGTTTTACATGCATTTTACTTTCAAAGATACCAGCATGTTTTTAGTAAACTTAGATATTATTGTTACTTAAACTATTATTTTACAGAATCAAAGTTTACATAGGCTTTGGACTTGCTTTACTATAAAGTTTATTCTACTTAGCAAGTCATTCCGACTAAAAAAAAAGGATCCAAATTCATGTTTTTGCTGAAAAAAAAAAGACTTAAATTTCCTTTGTATTCTACTTATATGAGATTATAAGTGTCTATTAACAAGGTCTATAGAAAGGTACTCGAAATATTGGAATTTCCAAATTTTTTGAAAAAGGTTCCTATAGGAAATTGTGCGTTGTATTTTGCGCATTTTCTCCACCAGAGGATCTGTGTTTACACTCAAACACTAAAATCCATTTTAATTATGCACGTGTACAACCGAAGGGTAATCTCTGAACATAAAACTTTTAAATGAGTGTTATGTTAAATGTATTAATGGAGATGTGAAGACTTGCATGTGTATAGGAAAACTCGCATTTAAAAGCAGCCGTGTTTAATCCCAGAAGGTCGAGGGGAAAACCACGATACAAGCTAGTGTTGGTCTTTCTAGGAAGCATTAGTAGTGAAGTTTGTTAAGTGTTATAACGTTGGGTATGTTGTGAATTATTTAGGTTACAGTTCACTAGCCATTCAGTTAAATTATTCATTCTCTTTCTAGACAGACGACCAAGACGCCGGCTTGCATTATTTAATTGTAAGACGGGAGTTCTACGAAAGGCTTTATAATTGGTACAAAGGTTGGGCGTCTAGAGAAGAATCAAAATTTCATCCAACTCGAGACGCATTAACTTCTCTTTGAAATCAAGTACAAGCTTCTGATGCTATTGCCAAGGAAAGTTTGTTTTTCCGAAGTAACTAATATTAAGTTTAAAGATTACTTACGTTACCGGTGATTGTTAAGTTTTTTTTTTTTCTTAGCTAAGAAGTCTGATTTTTATTTGAATATTGTATTTATTTAAAATAAATTCACTATACCCGAGAAAATAAGTTTGCCAGTGTTTATACAGAAACTATAGCTTGGTGGGAGAAACACTACATAAATATATTTCGCTATAGTTTATGCATTTTTACTGGTCACTTTCTTCTTTGGAATAGGAGATATTTTGCACAAAAGATTTGTTTGTTTGTTTGTTGTTAAGCGCAAAGCTATACAAAGAACTATCTGTACTGTGTCCACCACTGGTATCGAAACCCTAGTTTTAGCGTTATAAACCTTCAGACTTACCGCCGAGCCACTGGGGGAAATTTCACAAATAAATATAAAAGTTTGATGTCCAGAGTCTATATCTGTCTTAATTCGTTCGTGAATAAACTGAAACATACTCGTACGAATGAAAAAAATGACTCAAAGATTTGTGAACTTCAATTAATGTGGCACCTTTAATTTTCATGATAGTTTATAAGCTTTAGTCAAAATGGCACCTTAAATCTTCGTATTTTACTATTGTAAACGGATGATTTTGTATCTTAACAATAGATATGTTTCCGAGGCTTATGATTTTATCAAATAATTTATTGAAATTCAACTAGATTTAGCAATATCATAAATACCTAATCTGAGTTCAATACTTTCATTATTTGTTACAAACAAATTGACTGAAATATGTTTAATTAAATAAGTTATTTCAATATCTATTATTAAATTCAACGATACAATTAGAAAAACGATAGCACGACTCAATATATAATTGTAATCTCTTAAAAGATAAGCTACGAATTTCAGGTTTTGCCACTAGGTGGCCTCCCAAGTAATCACTTAGTGTAGCACATTTTGTTAAATCAGAACAATTGAAGAATTTGCACAAATTTTTATCGGTTGTACATAATAACATGTTTGTTTATTTTTTTCGCAAAGATTCACCGTGTCTACCTGGCAGGCATCAGCAAAGCACTCGGGCCCGACATGGCCAGGTGGTTAGGGAGCTCGACTCGCAATCTGCGGGTCGCGGGTTCGAATCCCCGTCACACCAAACGTGCTCGCCCTTTCAGCCGTGGGGGCGTTATAGTGTGACGGTCAATCCCACTATTCGTTGGTAAAAAGGGTAGCCCAAGAGTTGGCGGTGGGTGGTGATAACTAGCTGCCTTCCCTCTAGTCTTACACTATTAAGTTAGGGACGGCGAGCGCAGATAGTCCTCGTGTAGCTTTGCGCGAAATTCAAAACAAACAAACAAAACCAAAGCACTCTTCCCCGAAAGCTACAGTTGCCCCCTCTGTATTATTCTCAACTTCCAGAAAATAGTCAAATTTAACTGTTTTTCATGCTTTTCATTCACAAATTTGGCATCTTCTGAATAAACTTAGACTGCTAAAATCAAACCTTTCTCCAAAAGAACTAAAAGTATTAAAAAGTGATAAAAGTATCTTTTAACTGAAATCTGACAAAGGTAATGTTGTTGTTATCATGGATCTGATGGTAAACCAGCAAAATATGTACACACTTCTCGATGATTCATCTCATTTCCAAAAAACCTAACCCCTTACAAAGAACATGTATTAAAACAATCTCTTTTACAGTTAGAAAGAACTTTCTACTGGTATATACAAATTTCTTCGTCCCTCAGCTTCCCGTTTTTCTCAAATTTATGTGTCTCCCAAAACCCACAAACCTAATTTATCCTACGTCCTATTGTTTCGACATACAAAGCCTACAAGTACAACCTAGGAATATTTCCTCGCTTGGATGTTTTCTAAATACGTTTCTTGTCCTCCCTCCTTCATAAACAATTCCGAAATGTTTATGAAAAACTCCGAGGATTTAGTCACTTTGTTCAATTAGTGAAATGTGATGTGAACAAAATCTGTTCACTTAATTCCTCTACTTGAAACAATAAATGCTGCCCTGGAATGTTACCAAAACGATTCTAAACGCCTAAACATCAACACTATAAGAAAACTGTTTCTCTTTGCCGCTAAATCGTCCACTTTCCAGTTTCAAGGTGTGAAGTATATCCAAACTGAAGGCCAAAGTATGGGAAATCCTGTAGCTCCAGTAGTTGCTAATATATCTTAGAAGATGCAAAAGATGATTGCTTCTAGACATGTGATCAAAAACACGAGACGAATACTTTATAAGTTTACGTATACGAGTAGAAAGAAAGCTGTCTGTTTGTCAATGTTATAACTTCTGATTGTTTTTAACCAGATTTTTTTTTTATAGATAATTTTGGGATAAACCTAAGTTACTTAACCTTAACGTGAAGGGAATTTCAAGGAACATATAAGTCCAATGTGAGTGTTCTTACGAAATACGGAGGTTTGAAAGCCTATGTTTGTCTTTTAACAAGTACGTTTAGAGATGACAACTTACCATCAATTGTGATTTTATGTTTAGGTATATCTGGTTTATATACTTATGAATAACGTTAAAGTTATCGATGGCTGAAAAAGATTCATCAACATATCGAAACCAAAACTTAACTTATAAAGATAATTTCATATAGCAATGTATTGAGTTCATTTAATAAAAATAAACAACATTAATAGGTGTTTATTTGTATTTGTTGTAATCGCTCCCTTCACTCTTGTATACAGATTAAATTTCAATACTTAAACTCAGGCCTAAAAGCTATATTTACATACTACTAAATTTGACTGTTCTTGATAAATTACTTTATTAAGGTTGTAATTGCTTAGTTACGTGCTTGTAGATTACTATTGTTATAGATTCTCATAGGATTTTCTTTTAAAATTAACTTCTGTTATTCTCAGTTCTTGTATCTCACCTGTTGATGCCAGGTAAATCTGGTGAAACGTTGTGAATAAGACAAACAAAAGTTTTACTATGTACAAACAAAAGTTTTACTATGTACAATCTATAAAAATTAGTGTGAAGTAAAAAACACATAATTTTTCCTAATATTTAATTAATTGAAGAGTCTTTTAAGTTAATATTGTAGTGATACAATAACGCTATAAATACCACAAAAAACTCATTTTAAATTTAACTGAAAATGTACACCAATCTTTATTATCCTAATTTATCTACTTATTAAGCATATGAGCATTTGATACAAAACAAATTGCTTGTCTGATGGTAATGGTGTGTTTTGTGTATTTTCTCATCGCAGTGTTTGTTCGGTGCTAAAAGAACAACTATTTTTTAAATTTATATAGATTATTATTACATCACGTTTTTATGAGGTTTAAATAATAGTTTTATCTCTATGATTACACGTAAATAAAATTTTTGCTAAGCATGCTATATTTTACTAAAAATGTCGGAAAAAAGATAACACTAAACACCAGTGTTGAGTCAAAAGAAAACATGCACATCTTAGACGATAATACATATAATTTATCTACTTATTTTAGTAAAGCTGTTTTATCCACCGTTTTTAATGCATTGTATTAGAGACAAACTGAATTTGTCAAAATTTCTGAAGAAACAACAACAAAAATCGTATTCCAAGTAACTTCAGCTTAACAATGCTAAACACCTAGGCTGGAAGCAGGATGTAGGTTTAAACAAGACTGGAAGAAGGATGTAGGCTTAAATATTACGTGTTCCAGACGCCAGTTTTTCAAATAAATAAAAAAGACCGTTGTGCTACTTTCAAAATAAGTTAAACATTTCATTTTTTTTCCTTTTTACTAAGATATACGGACTTTCCACCGTACAAACTGACTGGCTTAGCTTGATAATTCTACAAGTCTTTGTCTTAATACACCAATAAAGTGAGGACTGAAATTTTTCCCTTTTATCCACGTGACACAACTACCAGCACATGCAAATTAACAACGTCCAATACAGGGTTAGACAAACAGAGAAAACAGGGAGTAAAGAGTATAGGGTTATCCAACGCGGAGATCAAATAAGAAAATTCAAACCTTCCAAAAACTGCTGTTCAAGAAAAATAACAATGTGCAGATAGTAGTAAGAAAAATGGCGTTTCATCTAAAGCATTGGGTGGAAACCGTCTACCCGCGTCCATTCTTGAGTCTAACAGCTTGTTCATCAATGTAACCGTTCTATAACTGGGACACATGTTGCCTAGCTGCTAGCATATCTGTTACAGATGAGCTTTCTTTTTATTTTTTTTTTAACCGGATCAACAGATAAATTTTTATATTGACCACTCTTAGGTATTCCATAATACCCACTAAGGAAAACGAAGAATCGAATAGTACAAAGTATGAACGCTATATGTCGCTGAGTACAATTCGTAATTACAGCTTCATAAACGTGATAATCTTATGTGTTTGTTTGTTTTCGGGTAACTGCGCTATGCTACTCAATGGCTGTATGCGCTAGCCTTACCAATTGTGAGCTGATAGACTAGAGGGAAGGCAGCAAGTCAACAGCACCCCCCCCCGTCAACTCTTCGGTTATTTTTTTCTGACGAACAATTTGATTTAAACGTTACTTTCATAATGGTTTGTTTGGTTTGTTTTGAATTTCGCGCAAAGCTACACGAGGGCTATCTGCGCTAGCCGTCCTTAATTTAGCAGTTTAAGACTAGAAGGACGGCAGCTAGACATCACCACCCACCGCCAATTCTTGGGATACTCTGTTATCAACGAATAGTGAGATTGACCGTCACATTATAACGCTCCCACGGCTGAAAGAGCAAGCATGTTTGGTGTGACGGGGATTCGAACCCGCGACTCTAAGATTTCGAGTCGAGCGTCCTAACCACTTGGCCATGCAGGGGCCTCTTTCATAACGGACTTTCAGCACCAAAGCGCTTTTTTTTGTTTTGTTAAGAAACGCAGATTCACAGATTGACATGCTAGCCACTGTGTCAAGTTTGACCCAACCTTGACAGTTGAACTCTGCTATTCAGTTGAGAATAAGCGTGT